AATGCAGGCTCGGCCTCGTCATTTTTTTGACGACCTCGTCGGGGATTTCCGAGTCCCCCGTACCCGGGTCTTACGTCTCCCCGATCCAGGCCCTCAGGGCACTCCAGGGGCGCCAGGATCATCGAGCGAAGACTCCGGAACGGGCGGCCTGTCCCGTGGAGCAGTCCTGGGGTGCAGGACCCGCCGTCTCCCGCAGGACCCGCTTCCTTCCTGCCAATCCCTCCTGCTGCCGGCTCCCTGTGCCGTTACCCTTCGAGGTCGATGCGATCGCCCGCTGCTTCCCTAATTAGCCCCTCTCTCTCCACCTGCTGGCTCCTCGTCCTCCTTCCGCTCCTGCTCCCCTCCTCGCTCCACGCCCGCGTCTGCCTTCGTGGATGGCCTCGTGGGCCACCCCCCGCCCTCCGCGCTCTGCGGCGCCGCGCCGACTCACAACGAGCGGGGCCTCGTGCGCCCGCTCCTCCGCACCTGCCCCCTGCGGCGGCTCGCCGGCTGGCCTCGCGGGGGCGCCCCCCGGCGGCAGCTCCGCGCGCCGCCCGCCCGCCTGCCTTCCTCCACCCCCCCGCCCCTCCCGCTGAGGCCGGCTCCTCGCTCGTGCTGGCTCCCCGCGCCGCCCCCTGGTGGCTACCCCCCCCCCCGCGCCCCGGCCTCGCCCTCGCCCCTCCCCCCGCCCCCCCCCCCCGGCCCCTCCTCGCCTCGTGGCCCCTGCGTGCCGCGCCGCACCCGCCCGTCCCGCTCGCCGCCCGCCGCCTGCTCCCCTGCTCCCCCCCCCCAGTGGGCCCCCCTCGCGCCTCGCTCCCGCCCTCCTCCCTCGTCCCCGCCTGCGCCGCCACCTCCGTCGCCCTCACCAGAGTGCCGATGGGCTCTTCCCCGAGCAGCTGGCTTGCAAGGGGTCTCTCTCTCTCTCTCTCTCTCTCTCTCTCTTTTTTTTGTTTCTCTCTCTGTCTCTCTTTCTCTCTCTCTCTCTCTTCCTCTCTCTTTGTCTGCGTACATACATATACATAGCTAGTAGGTGGATCGCCGGATCCGGACTCGGTCGGGCGACGTGGCCTCCCGTTGCCCTCCCTGGCCTCCAGTTGGGAGTTTTACTGCCAGCAGTGGTATTCGCAGTAGCGTTATCATGCGTATTTGCACGATTAGCGTCTGCCGGATTCGTGTGATTGTTTGCCGCGCTATTGCAACAGGAGTCGGAAGCCTGCGATTGAACAGCCGCATTCGTAGTAGTAGCACTGCTAGTATTAGTCGTCGTAGTATGGATACGCGTGTTATTTGTAGTATCAGTCGTAGTGTTCAGTATTTGTATTATTAGTGAACAGTGTTGATTCCAAACAGTGTGGTTTCTCATACTACGTGGTCCACGATCTGCGGGGCGATGGTAAGACATGTGGTGCCATCTACGTTAAGCAATCCATGGGATGCCATCTAGGTTGGACGATATGTATGGTGTAAGCCATGTGGTGCAACCTGTGTGGTTTAAGCCACATGGTGCACTCTATGTGGTGCAGTATCTGTGATGCAAGTGTTGTGTAAGCTATGCAACGTGGTGTACTTTATGTGGCACGCAATCTATGTGGTGCGAGCAATGTGGTGCAGTCTTTGTAGTGCACTCGATGTGGTATAGGCTCTGTGGTGCCATACGTGTGAAGCAATCTATGTGTTGCACTCTACTTGGTGCAATCTATATGGTGCAATCCATGTGGTGCAGGTAATTTCTTTTTGCAGTGGGTTGTCAATCCCACTGCTCGCGCAATCATTCCACCAACCCGCCCGCAACTTGGATTGCAAAACCCATGCAGCGGCAATTGCGATGACTCCTCGGAGCTGGCTGGCGCATCGCCGCGGCCTCGCTAGCGCGCATGCTCGCGCGCAAAGCGGCCAGCTAGTTTGGCTGCCGACGCGGCTGCCCTGGCGCTCACCGCTGGGCGCTTCCCAGCGGGCACTTCAGGGCGAGTCGGCGCTTGGGTCGGCGCGGTATCATGGCAACATCGGCAACGGTAGACGCGATGAAGATCGCAGCGATGCTGGTGACGATGGTGACAACAACGACGGCGCGGCCAGTGATGGCGCCGATGCTGATCACGCCGGCGACGATGACGGCGTCCTCGCGTCGGTTATGAAGGTTGTGGAGGGGTTTCGACGTGCGCGCGCGGCCGACGCGCGAAAATGGTCCGCACGGAGGCCTGTTTGGCAGAATGCAATGAGAACGCGGAGGAACTTATTGTGTTCTTCAGACGCGAGACCGCGAAAGCAGGCCTGTTGAAAATTGATGTTGCGAAACAAGTGTTTGTTTGTATATATTCATAAATATTCGGGATGCTCGATCTTGAATTCCTTACGAAACGTTTGCATGTACTTCGGCATGCGCGCGCGACGGCGCGCGCGCGTGTGCATTTTGCCGTTGTTTTGCAAGGGATTATCACCGCAGCGCGCGCGCAATGGCGTTCTCGCTGTTTCGACATGCGCTCTCGAGGGGCCCGTCTGGTAGCATGTTCTGAACATGCTGCAACATGCGTGCTTTTCTTAAGAATCGGCAACAACCCGACCGCAAACTTGTTTTGAAATTTGTTGGGGAGCCTGATAGTCTTTATTTGTTTTCGGGGCACTCGATTTGGATTTCCTTGCGACTTGTTCCACGCATGCTTCGTGGGGTTTTGTTGTCTTCCCACCCGCGGCGCGCCCGCGTCTCACGGGTTTTTGTTTTCTTCCCACCCGCGGCGCACCCGCGTCGCACACACACGCACACAATCACGCGCTCACCTCCTCCCTCCTCGCCCCCTCTTCCTCTCTCGCCTCGTCCACGCGCACTACATGGACGTCGCCCACATGCGACGCGCGCCTACATGCAGCCTTACGCATGCACACAATTGCACACACAACACAACACACCACAACACAACATACCACAACGCACCAGAACACAACACAACACATCACAACAGTACACACACATTCACATACACGCACACACACCACCTCACACCACGCACGCGCGCACGCACGCACGCACGCACGCACGCACACACACGCACGCACGCACGCACGCACGCACGCACGCACGCGCGCACGCGCGCCCGCGCGCCCGCGCGCCCGCGCGCCCGCGCGCCCGCGCGCCCGCGCGCCGCACGCACGCCGCACGCACGCCCGCCCGCACGCACGCACGCACGCGCACGCGCACGCGCACGCGCACGGCACGCGCACGCGCACGCGCACGCACGCGCCCGCGCCCCGCCCGCCCGCGCCCGCGCCCGCGCGCGCCGCGCCCGCGCCCGCGCGCCGCGCCCGCGCCGAGCACGCGCACGCGCACGCGCCGCGCACGCGCACGCGCCCGCGCACGCGCACGCGCACGCGCACGCGCACGCGCACGCGCTACGCGCACGCGCCCGCGCACGCGCTACGCGCACGCGCACGCGCACGCGCAGCGCACGCGCCCGCGCACGTGCACGCGCACGGCACGAGAAGCGCACGCGCACGCGCACGCGACGCGCACGCGCACGCGCACGCGCACGCGCACTCGCGCACGCGCACGCGCACGCGCACGCGCACGCGCACGCGCACGCACCCGCACCCGCACCCGCACCCGCACCCGCACCCGCACCCGCACCCGCACCCGCACCCGCACCCGCACCCGCACCCGCACCCGCACCCGCACCCGCACCCGCACCTGCACCGCCCATGCCGTCGGCGCACACGCACACGCACTCGCACCCGCACACACATGGTGCAGCCAGAGCCCGCCAATGCCGTCGGCGTCCTTGCACCCAATGTCGACGATGAACTCCTAGGGCATGGTCGGGCCTTGAACCCAAGAGTGCAAGAGGGGGCCAGGCGAGGAGCAGGAGGAGGCGGGGCGTAGGGTCTGTGCAAGACCGCGGCCCGCTGGATTACCCAGGAACTCGCGAAAATAGCAATCGTTCCGCACTTGGCACTATCCAGGAAGTTCAGGCCTGTACTGGTTTGTGTAAGGCGGCGCGCCGCTGGACCCCCAGGCAGCACGACGGTGGCTACACCTTCGCGGGTGGCAACACCCAGGTTGGCGAGCTTTCGTCTGGGTTTGGGTAAAGCCGCACTTCGCTGGACCCCCAGGGCCCCACAAAAACTGCAACACTTGCAGCACAGTTGGCACGACCCAGGCATGCGAGGTCCCGTTTGGATTTGGGTAAGACCGCAGCTTGCTGAACCCCCCAAAGTTCGCGAATTACGACAGTTGCGCAGATGACACCACCCAGTGAGGCGAGGTTTCGAATTGGCCTGGGCCCGCTGGACTCTCAGGGCTGCAGCAACGACGCGACAGTGGCGCGATTGGCAGCGCCCAGCTGGGGGGGGGGATCTGGGGCGCCTGGCCCCCCAGGGAGACCGAGCCACGGACCTTACGAGCAGGGCCCCCAGGGGCAGGAGGTGCGCGGGCGAGGACAACAATAGGGGAGGGCGGGAGCGGCGGTCCCTGCTTACGACGGGCACGCGGCACGAGAGCGTCGGAGAGCGCCAGTTCTAGGGGAACGAACATTGACATAAACAGAAAAACTCGGAGTTCCGCGCTGATCTCTCGGCTCCGCGCGGACCTCGAGATGGAATGTTCATGTCAGTAATCGATCCCGTAAGTTTAGATCGGGCCTGTCCCCCATGCAGGGGGATTTTGGGCGAGAAATGAAAACGACTCAAAACATACGCCCCCAATGTTCAGAAGCAGTCAAAAAATGGTCCCCAGACTATTTGTTGATTATTTTTTAGTTCTCCTCCTGTAGAGGGACAGGCCCGACCTAACCCTAAGCCCGCCCGCAGGCCAGGGGCCGTCGCCGCCCTCCCCGACCCGCGGCTTGGACGACGCCAGGGAGGAGGAGGAGGCGGAGGAGGAGGAGGAGGAGGAGGAGGAGGAGGAGGAGGAGCAGGAGGAGCAGGAGGAGGAGGAGGAGGAGGAGGAGGAGGAGAGGAGGAGGAGGCGGAGGAGGAGGAGGAGGAGGAGGAGGGGCCGTCGCCGCCGTGCCCACCGCCCTCTGCCCGCGGAGGCGCTGACCACTCCGCAGCTGCGGGCCTGCCCGGCGTTCGAGGGCCTCCTGGCCGAGGCCCCCGGGCCTCGGGGCGGAGGGGAGCGGGGCGCCGCCGCGGCGCGTCGCGCCGCGCGGCCGCGCGGGGGGCGGGGGGGCGGGAGGTTCCTTCCTTGTCCTTCCCCCCTCCTCCGTCCCCCGCCCGCCGTCCTCTCCTCCTCCTCCTCCTCCTCCTCCTCCTCCTCCAGTTCCTCCTCCTCTTCCTCCTCCCCAGTCTCCTCATATTTTCCTCCTCATTTTCCTCCTCCTCCTCCTCCGTCGCCTCCCCGGTCCTCCCCCCTCCTTCCCCCCTTCACCCATGCCGCCTTCTCCTGCCTCGTCCGCTCTCTTCCTGAACCCCTCGCCGTGCTCCTGGCGCTGGCGCTGGTGGCATATCCCTGTCAGCGGAGTTGTGGCCATGCCCCCTCCTCCTCCTCCTCCTCCTCCTCATCCTCCTCCTTTTCCTTCTCCTTCTCCTGCAGCTTGGGCGGGGACCAGGTGGACCATTTCTTTTCTTGCCCCGCGTTGCTGCCTCTGCTTCCTCTTGTCGTCCGTTCCCTCCCCCCTGCTTCCTTTCGCTTTCTTCACGTCCGCTTATGTTTGCCGTACAGCTTCCAGACATGACTCCAGAGGAGTTTCATTCAATAATGTCAATTCATGATCTTATTCATGCCACTTGCAACTCCCTGCGTGCTGGAGATGGATTCGGCCCCAACGGAGTTCGGCATTTAATTGTCGCCCGAGCTAGAGTCCTCGCCAGACGTCACATCAAGTTGGGGGCTCTGCTGACTCGCTCGTGGGCCCGCGGGACGAGAGACACAACTGAAGTGGGGGCTCCTCCCTCTCCTTCTCCTCCTTCTCCTCCGCATCCATCCACCCCTCCCGCGCGCGGGAACGCGCGTGCGCAGGGAAGAGGAGGGAAGAGGAGGACCCCCTACGGAGGGGGAGACCACGTCGGGCCGAAGATTTGTTGGTCCGATCGGACGCCTCACTCTGGCGATCGCAAACATAGGGGGCGGCAAAGAGGGGGGTGATGGCTAATTAGGGGGGTGGGTGGATATCATGACGGGGGCCATGATATTTCCTCAGATGTCATGGCGCCTCTTCTTATTTCATTCCGTTCCTGGCCCCCCAGCTGGGCCGCGCACGTGCCGCCGATCATGATTTGCACCCCCCCCTCTTAGACACCCCCCTCTTGGCCGCTCCCGAAAACATCGGTCAATGGGGGCGTGGATTACAGTCGGGGCGCTGAAGAAGGAACCCTTCTCGTCGGGGTGGGGCTCAGTGTTCCTTAATTGTTGTGCTGCTTGCCTTTGGTTGTCCTTAGGTTTTCGATTGGAAACCAAAATTAAACTCATGGAGAGAGGGGGCCTCGCTCCTTATTGTAATGGCCTCCGGCCAGTGCCGCCGATCCGGGGCGCTCCCGATGCGTGTGGGAACGGACGATGACGACGACGACGACCGACGACCGGGTCAACGACGGACGATGATGACGACGACGTCCCTCCTCCCCCCGCTGCCCTCCCCGGTTTCTTGGACCTCCCCCCCCCGCTTGAGCTCGACCCCCCCCTCCGTCCCCGCTCGAGCTTCCTCCTTGGACCCCCCCCCCCAGCTTGAGCTCGACCCCCCCCCTCCGTTCGATCCCCCC